GAAAAGTAACAGATAAGGCAATTCACTTGCTAAAGGTCACACATTTATTTGATGGAAGTGGGATCCAAACCTAGGTTTCTACGATTCCAAGTTCAGGCATTAGTCACCATTACATATAATGTCTAGTATAGTTCTAGATATATAGTAGGTGCTCAAAATTTCTTTTAAATGGAACTTGCATGGTAAACTGAAATACTAATAATTCCATAGTGTAAAACAAGCATGTCAAACTCAAAGGCTAACAAGGGACAAATAAATAAGGTTTAAGTTTATGTGGGCCACAAAAAAACAAAAGCTTCAATTTTCATAGAAACATAGGTTTATTTCGATAGAGACATGCTGAATACAAAGGGCTGAAATAAATAATCATTAACATAAAATAATAGAACATTTTAATAAAAATTATTTTTTCTTGAACATTAACTTACCGGACACTGAATAACTGCACAAATAATAAGCATAATACAAATAAACCTATTTTTCTTCTTCTCTGAAAGTGAAATATTTCCGGTTGTGCACACCAAACAAGTTAGTCCAATACTAATGACGCAGCAATCGGCTGCTAAAATGTTCGCTGCTAGTATTAGTGGAGAGAAATGGGACACCGGCGTGTAAGGGAAATGAATGCAACACGATTAGAATCATTAGTCCTTAGCGAAAGTTGCAGTTCCTTATTAATAATTATGTATAACAGGATATTATAAAAATTAAGAAATTTTTATTAAAACGTTTCTTACATACCGTTGTATTGGCTCAGCCGCAAAAATATTCGTTGTGGGCCACATGTGGCCCGTTTGACATGCTTTTCGTACAACTTCTTTTGAAAGAGATCTAGGAGAGGGAACTCTACCACCAAAATGCTCCACACCTTAATAGAGCAATGAGAGGAGGGAAACGTAGAGGCCGTGTAATGTTGAACAGACCTTTCCATCTGTGTCTAGCCTTTCTTTGTGACAGTGAGAGCTCAGTGAGTGTTAACTCAATAAACTCTATTTTCTATTGATGAGTGTGTTTGAAACTCCTTTGCCCAAGAGTAACTCTTGCCCTGAACTTGGCAGGATGTCAGGACTTAGAAAAGGGGTAAAATAGAGGGAAATATGATAAGATGAGATTGCTGTTTATAAAACAGCAAAGTTTACCTAAAATTATAAAATGTTTTATTTTTTAGAATATTTTAAAAATGAAAAATTAATAACACAATGTAAATTATGCTAACAACTTGTACTGTATTCATTTGTCAAAGAATAATTGGTTAGAGACCATAAAGAATGCTGGGAGTTTTTGAATAGAACCATTCTTTCTAAGTAGCAACCTAATCCTTTGTGTCTCTGAAAGGCTCTAGTATTAAATTAAACAAGGTTCAATATTAAATAATCCATAATTTCCTATACTTTAAAGATCTGAAAAGTAAAAAGTATTTAAGAAATCTAGCACTGTAAATTCTTTCAATATGTAACAATTTTCAAAAAATTGTTATTTTACTGAACCTAAAAATACAGAGAGCATAATGGATAGAAAATGCTTACCATTTGTTCATATTTAATGGCATCCTTTTCAGCAATCTGAGCTGCTCTTTCTTTATTCATGTAAGCTGCTTTTAATTTCTTCTCCAATTCTCTGAGCTCAATACTGTTTTAAAAACAAACAGAAATTTAAGTTTGAGGATGATTACCATAAACAACCTATATCTGAAATTTAAAACAATTTTTACCTAAATGTGTAAAATATATTTACATTATTATTTAAATACTATGGGCCTAATGCATGAAATTCGTGCAAAGGCCTTGGCCCCTGCCCCCACCTGCTGCCACCGCTGTGGCTGGGGGTTTCTGCCGCCTCTGACTCAGCCTCCGCCCGCTGTGGCTTTGTCTGGAAGGAAGGATGTCTAGTCCAATTAGCATATTAAGCTTTTATTATTATAGATTTTGAAAAAATACCCTGTTCTTCATACAAAGAAAAATCATAATCATGTGAAATGGGACACTATAATTAATTTTATACACAGAACAACCTTTTATTTTCAATAATCATCACTAAAAATCTTTTTGCCAACTCCTGGCTTAGAGAAGGTGCTTTGTCAATATTGGTTAAAATTTCTGTCCAGCTACTAATACTAAAAGAATAACTACAGTAGAGGGGTTTAAACCTAAGCAAGTTATTTAAATTTTGTTCCTTGGTTTTGCTCTATGTACTAGTAAAAGGGTTAATATGGGAATTAAATTAATGTGTACAAAGAGCTTAGAAAATTACCTGTTACACAGTAAACATGCTATAAACAGGAATTATTCTTGATAGTGATTATGAAGAGGGAGTGACAATTGGAAAGTTTGCTTCACCTCTCTGGGCTTTTCTTATCTGTTTAAAACTGGTCTCAGATAATTTCTGAATTATTTTGAATCCATAATTTTCTTAATCTTAGTGAAAGCAATATGCTATACAAAATTTTTTTATGTTAATGTGCCAGTGATAATTCTGAATATGACAGAACTAGAGGCCCAGTGCACAAATTCGTGCACGGGTGAGGTCCGGCTGGCCCAGCCCCAATCAGGGCGGATTGGGGCTCGGCCGGTCGGGAGGAGGAAACAGCTGGAGGTTGGCTGCTGACTGGGGGAAGGGGCCACAGGCAATTGGCCAGCGGGCCCCACCCCCTATTGGGGGGGCAATTAGAGGGAGGACCAGCTGTAGGGATGAGCTGTGGGCAGTGGGCCGGCCAGCCCTGCCTCCAAATGGGGTTGGGGGGGCTGATCGGGGACCAGCAGCCTGGGGAAGGGTCCATGGGTAGTTGGCCGGCTGGCCCTGCCTGCGATGGGGGTGGGGGAGGCTGATCTGGGGTGGGGCCGGGCGGGGGAAAGGGCCATACAGGGGGTTGGCCGGCCCATTGCCCTCGATCTGCTGCTTCGCTGGCCACTGTGGGCATCATGGCGACCAGTCAGTCTGGTCATTAG